TCGGCATCAGGGTTGGCTGGGGCATGAGGGTGCTGAAAGTGCAGAGCTGTGTGGCTAGGCAGTAGGCAGGAGTTTGGCTCCCAGCTGGCTAGGCTGACGACATAAATTTGCACCCAGTCAACATCTACACGTGTGTTTAATTGCAGTCAATTACCCAACCATAAGATAATACTGTCACCTACAGTACTATTTTCAATCAATGTAAATTAGTTTACTGTGGCCTAATACCAGCGCACGTATAGATGGTGATGCTTTACTCCACAGCTAATTAGTCTACTCTGCAGTAAAGTGCATGTGTAGATGCGGTCACTGTTTAGCAAATAGTTCATCTCAATACTTTTATAGTCAGGGAAAGCATTCCTGAGTTTCATGTGGCACTACTTTATTATGTATAGTTATAACAGGAGCATATATGAAAGCAAGTTCTCTGTGGTAACTAAAATGAGGATTTATTATGTAGGGGCAAGTGAAGTAAAGGTATGAGGAACCTAACGTGCCACCTGAAAAGTTCCTGGTTCTCTAGCCATTCCCTCATTACCATACTGGGAAACGCAAGAAATTCAGCTCATTCACGTACAATGGTCTGGCTCTCTTCTTTACACAGAAGGAAAAAAGGGATTTTTTTCTCTTTTCAACACCTCTCCTTTCTTCTCTCAACCCCTCCAAAATAAAATTATCCTTGGCATTAGCAGGTCAGGAGGCCTGGCCAAGTTATTTTCAGTTTTCCCACAACCTACAGTAACCACTTTCATGAAAAGGGGGCAACATCTTAGCAATTCCTGAAGTCCACACCATAAAGAACATTTTGTCATAGATACTTAACCCTGCATGTACCACTGTGAAGAAAGAACACACATCCAATCCTTTCTTTTATTGGCTCCAGACCCAAATTATATACAAAGCTAATTTAATAATTATGTACAAAAGTGTGCTTTTTAAAAATCGTTAGATTACAAACTTGCAAATACTAGAAAAGTGCAAAATTTTAAAACATCTTGTCATGCTGTACAGAAACAAATCCATCATTAGCCAATATACACACACACTTAAAATTATTAGAACTTATCCACCTGAACAGAACAAACATTCAAGAAAGACAAACAATATATACTTAATCTTTAAAGCACCCAGAAGGGAAGAAGTTATTGCACAGAGGACTAACAGCAAGTTACTAACAGTGCTTGAAGGCTCTTACTTGAAACTAGATGTATTCAACACTCATAACTAAAATTTGTTGGACTTTATATATAAAGGCATTTTTGGCATGAAATCCATTTGTAATCACATAATTGCACAATTATAAGAATTACTATATGTACGTAGTTAATTATCACACTATAAGTAAGGCTTAGTATTCTGTTTCCACTGTAAATTTGTGATTTGAACAAGTACTGAAGCATAATCTAAAGAGTCTCACTTCTTACCCTAAAACCATTAAGAAAGCTTTGTTTTAGGGAGCAGCAGCACAATCTTGAAGCATTCGATTAAAGAAAGCGATAGTTTTGTAGGAACTGGGCATGTCTACACAAGACACTTACTGCACATTAGCCTAATAACACTGTGCAGTAAGTATCATGTCATGGCCAAAGTTGTGCTAATAGCCTACTGCATAGTGGTATTAGGCTAATGCACAGTAAGCATCACTAAATAACCATGCGCTGGCACTACTGTGTAGTAACTAGGTACTGCGCATTTAGTTAGTATTCTATTAAGGAAGTATTAAACTAAATGCACAGTATCTAAGGTGCATTAATGAATTTGTAGATGCACCCACTGTAGCCCAAATCCCATAGCAAGCTCTGTCTGGTTACACCAGGCTTCTTGCAAGGTCAGAACCCATGAACCAACTCTCCATTGCTCAAGTGTTTTTTAACTACTTCCTTTAGCCTTGCTCACCACTGATCATGCCTGGCTGTTAACCATTAAAGACAATACTGCTATTTAGATGTTTGAGGGCAACCTGGTCTCAAATGTTTGTTTCTAGACAAATTATGGCTGCTTTGAAAAGTAAAAAAAATACAGGAAGTCAGTTAGATACCACAATTACATACAAGATTGGCTTCTGACCACCCTGCCTACTCCCTACCCCCTGCCTAGCAGATGTTGGATATTTCATGTTGCATTTTTGCTGTAACAGTTTCTTAGTTTAAAAATGGAAGCTGCAGAGTGTATATTATCTTAAATACTACAGAGTAATGGAGCAGAAGACTACCTTCTCTTTTGTCATACTGCCTGGCAAGTAATAGTGGATAGCAGATAAGTTATGGAATTGCAGTACTAAGAGCCAGTAAGACTTCCTGGCATCAGGAAGACAATAATCTCTTTCTATAATGCTAGAAGTAGTGCTATAACCAGAACATAACATCTGAGCTCCAGAAATGTTTAAGAGAAGCAGCAATGACTAACAGAGCTGGAGGAACTGGATTATGAAGAGAGACTGAAATATACATGAGCAGCTTGCCTAGATGGTGATAAAATACCATCTCTGAACAGCTTATGCCAAAACAGAGAGAGAAAAGGTCTCCACTATTTCAAGGGGGTACAACCAGGAGAGATGAGATGACATTGAATAAATAAAACTTTAAATTAAGTATCAGAAATAATTCTACAACCACAAGTTTCACACTGTGGAATCATTTTCCATGATAGTAAGTGGAAACCATGACCCTTGATTCATTAAAATTTAAACTGCACAAAGCACTCTCCCCATTTAAGCTGAAATTCTGCACTGTCAGTTAATGGGTCCAACTGGCATTTCCATACTCTCATCTCCTGAGGTCTATCAGGTGCTTAGAAGGAAATGTGCTTGGTTTGGGGGACAACCATAGTTTGCTAGCAATACACAGCATACTTGCTTTCCAAGGGACAAAGCTCCCCATATTTGGAGTGTGCACTTATAAGGTTTATCAGAGGAGGTCAGAAATGCAGCAATTGTAATTTGGTCCCTCACAATGGAAGAAGGGAGGTCCCTCCACCTTCACCGGAGTCAGATGTGGGCATCCAGTTGCCCCATAGGCACACAAGCAGTTACTGAGCAACCACTACCATCAAAAAGAAGGGAGAACTTCATGTAATAGTGAACACAACTCATAAGCCTCAAACGGTGCATGTGAATTTAAAGCTACACATACAAACCCATAAAACCCATCCCTCAAACCCCTTATCACCAACTGGTATTTGCTCAGACCTTCATCTGTAAAGTGTTACATTGCATAGCCACCTGAAACTGCATTTTCAAAAAGAATGCTGTAGTGTCAAGAACAGCCCAGTTCGCACTATTACCGCACAGCAGTATTTTGAAGTACAAATTATCTGGGCACCAACTCTCACAAATTTCTTCACTCCCCTTTTAACTCATCTTGTGCAGGTTATTTTGAATTTTTTTAGTGTACTTAGTATCTTCTGTTAATCAAATCTGAGATTATATATTTGTTCAAGATACCTGATTTAGATCATTTAGATTTATTTTTTTTACAGAATCTGCATGCCCAATCACATGAACACTAGCACGTATAGCATTTATAACCACAAACAGCTAAGTTAGTGTCACAATAATAAGCACTATCGACTGGTTCAAAAAAATCATACCTAGTGAAGGCAGCACTTAAGTACATGTTTAATTCCCACTAAAATTATACACATCCTTAAATGCCTTCTAAAATTAGAGCCTTTGCCTGACAGTATTAATCAGATCCGGCCTTATGTTCATATAATAGTATATTTAATAGTAAAAAAAACAGAATATTTAAGAGTCCCTGAAAAATAAAATGTAACCTAATCCCTAAAGCTCTCTACAGTATTGCTGTCATATATACATATACTTCTTAAACTAAAAAAAAAAATCTACACGATAAAAAAAATCTTCAGTTGAATGATAGGTACAATTTTATTTCTTGCAATCTCAAGTAAGGACATATACATTCAATGGGAGGGATATTCTTAGGAGTCTAAGGGAGTCGAGTAACGAGCTCCCATTAACTTCCAGCAGAAGTCACACACCTAACTTCCTTTTGTGCATTAAAAAAAAAAATAAAAAAAAAATCAAAGTTTCAACAGAACCATCTTAAAACAAATGAAAATCAGAGGTAATTGCCTGTTCCTTCAAAGACTGATATTTCACAGTAGGGACATTTTTTTTTTTGTTTCAACTCTGCTCTCTATTTTAAGACAAAATCTAGCTTCCAAAAGAGGCTCCTTACAAAAATAGTCAATTCTTAATACCCCTTGTGCAATTAAAAAAAAGTCAGTCAGTTTTGAAATAACTATTTTTAGTGTTTTTACCTAAGTAGGCCATGATGAAAAGATTTCAGTGAATGTCTAGACAAATACAGAGATAAATATTTAACATGATACTTTGTGAATCAAATGGGCTTCTAAGCACTTCCCTCTGCAAAACATTTTACATGTGAAGAGAAATAAGAGTTTAAAATGGGATATTTTTTGGTGCTGGTGATGGAAATATAGGTGAATAATGAAAGGGATAAAGTTCTAAAGTGTTGCACAAAATGAGGACTATACACTGAAAATGAAGAATACTCTGACATAATAACCCACACATATCTTAGCTTTGACACTGAGGGTTTAAACTCTGAATGCTGTCATCTTCCAAACACACACTT